TATTTATATTTAAAGGAAAAGCAGCTCTCATTTTGTTTATTAAACCCCACCCCACCTAAATACCTTTATGGGAAGCTCTGATAGTGCAACGGGTAGAGCACCCAGTTGCTAACCAAAAGATTGATGCTTCTAACACACTAGCAACTGCAGGGGAGAGAGATGTAATCATTTGCTTCCATACAGATGTATAGCCCACAGGCCACTTCTACTCTGTCCCAAGCTATAGGTTTTCTATGAGTCAGAATCACCTTGATGGCTGTGGGGTTTGTCTGCTTTACAAAATGATTTTAAAGACCCCAAACCCAGACCCATGTAGCACTGAATCATGGGTAGGGTATATAGGTAGGTAAGGTAAGGACATGGTTCTGGACATGGACTTTTGGTCTTTGTCCTACAAGTACACAGTGGCAAGGGTTGTTGGGTTGTACAGATGGGCTGAGTAGCAAAACAGCTGGGCATGCTCCTTTACTACCTCTTCACAACACGTACTCCTTCTTACTCTACTGCTGCCAACTTTGCCATCACCTCCACTGGAGCTCATTCCTTTGGCTTATACCACCAGCTCCAGCAGCAGCAAGCAGGGGAAGCAATGGCAAGGACAACTGGATGTGATTTAGGCATAATGTTAACACAATGTAAAAATCATATAACATCCTATTAGACAGGATGTATTGTGGACAATAAATGGCTCAGATTTGTACTAAATACATACATTCATTCATATTAATACAAAATTGGGACAAAACAGTAAGAAATTAAAAAATTAGTAAACCCATGAATTAAATTCATGCTTATAATAAATTCTATTTCTGAAATCCTATCATTTTCTGATTTCAAATCTACTACAGCTACAATAGTCAGCCTGGTACTGGTACCACTACACCCTGCAATATGCAGATGACACAACCTCGCTTGGTGAAAGTGAGGGGACTTCATGCATTTTCTGATAAAGATCAAGATCAGTGGGGATTATAACTCAGTGTAAAGAAAGGCAAAATCGTCACAATAGGATTAGTAGGTAACATCATGATAAACAGAGAAAAAGTTGAATTTGTCAAGGATTGTCTTGCTTGGCTCCACAATCAATGCTCATGGAATCAACAATCAAAAGAGCACATTGGTTTGGGCAAATCTGCTGCACTAGATCTCTTTAAGCTGTTGAAAAGCCAGGATGTTACTTTGAGGACTAACATACACCTGATCCAAGCCATGGTTATTTTCAATGGTCTCATATGCATGTGAAAGTTGGACAATGAATAAAAAGGAAGACGGAAAAAGAATTAATGCATTTGGATTACGGTGCTGGGGAATGACATTGAAAGTACCAAAGGACAAACAGATCTGTCTTGGTATAAGCACAGCCAGAATACTTCTTAGAGGCAAGGATGGTGAGACCTTGGACAGGTTGTCAGGATAGACCAGCCCCTGCAGAAAGACACTAAGCATGGTAAAGTGGAGGAGCAATGCAAAAGAAGATCCTTTAGAAGATGGATTGCCACCGTGGCTGCATCCCTGGGCTCAAACATAAGAATAATTGTGAGGATGGGGCAGAACCGGGCAGTGTTTTGTTTTGTTGTAAACAGGGTTGCTTTGAGTAGGAAGCATTGTGACAGCACCTAACAACAACAACAACAACGGACCCAATATAAAATCAAAACCAAACTTAATGCCATGGATTTAACTCCATCTCATAAAAGAAATCTCAAAAAAACCAAAATGAACAAATGTGTATATGGCCTGATTCTGAAATCGAGCTCTGGTTTGGTCTACCAGCAAACTTTCTGAAATCTCTGATTATGATAATGATATCAAAATAAAATAGCAGCTCATTTTTGTTGATTTTGTACTGCTACATCTGGCAAGAATGATCTAATTTATGTGATCACAGCTCTCATTGTCCACGGGGAACTAGCAATTTCCACCTGTGTGAGTTGTGTGGAGTCAGAGATAAACCACACTCACAATGCAGCAATGAGTTAAGTCAAAGTTCTATTAAAGCACAAGATCACTTCGAAAGAGATTCATCAGGTCCTCCTTAAAAGGTGAAAAGGGGAGTCACTACGACACCAGGTCATATCATATTAAAGAGAGCTGTTCTTTATCGATGAAAAAAAAAAAAAAAAGGTGAAAAGGGCCCTGTAAATAGATAAAATGTAGCTTCAGAGCAAAGTAGGTCCCCTTTGTGAGTTGAGAAGGGACATTGTCTAGGACAGCGGTTCTCAACCTGTGGGTTCTGACCCCTTTGGGGGTTGATTGACCCTCTCAGATTGACCCACCAGATTCAGAACAGTAGCAAAATTACAGTAATGAAGTAGCAACATAAATAATTTTATGGTTGGGGTATGGGGTCACTACAACAGGAGGAACTGTATTAAAAGGTTGCAGCATTAGGAAGGTTGAAAACCATTGGTCTAGGCCGCAGGGGTCCTCAAACTTTTTAAACAGGGGGCCAGTTCACTGGGCCTCAGACCCATTGGAGGGCCGGACTATAGTTTAAAAAAAAACTATGAATAAATTCCTATGCACACTGCACATATCTTATTTTGAAGTAAAAGAATAAATGGGGCAAAAACACCCAGTGGGCCAGATAAATGTCCTTGGCTGGCCGCATGTTACCCACAGGCCGTAGTTTGAGGACTTCTCATTAGGGGAAAGCTTCTAGTTTCTAAAGGCATATTAAAAGGGAAGGAAGTCTAAGCTTTGCAGATGGTCAGGCCACCTTCTAATTAGTTACTAGATTTGTCCTGGGGTCTCTTGCATAATTTTTTTCAGATTTATCTTGCTTTTGATTCAGCATCAGCATAGTTCAGATTTATGCCAAGTTATTTCAGGGACTACATAGTCTGATTATGGTCAGCGGTTGATTTAGAAAGATAAAGGTTCTGAAAGGTGTGGAAAATAATGAATGGAGGAAAATGGGGAGGAAAGGAGGAAAGAACAAAGGAAGGGAGGAGAGAGGGGGTAGATGTAGAATTAAAAAAAAGTTAATAGGGCCAGAGTTAAATTATCTATCAGCATAGAGTTCCAATCTTTTGTTGCCCAGGCTATGTAGCATTGCTGAAAGTACCTCTTTCACTGGGGAAATATTTGCATGATTTTTTAGTATGATTCTCACACTTATCTTTTGTGGTTGAAGAACTGACTCTGAAATTTAAAATACAAATGACTCTTCCACTAACAATTTTGTCATAATGTAATGTTTTTTAGGTAACTAAATGAAATTCTGTTTACTATAATTTAAGCTTGAGTACTTTTGCTTTTTATAGAACCTGCCCAAATATACTTTACCAATATTCCTAAGGACAATATTTATTTCTAATCAGTAAATAAAAATATGTCCACAAAAAGCGAGTAAATAAGCAAATGTGGTGAAGAAAGCTGCTGGTGCCCACCTATCAAAAGATATAGCATATGGGGTCTTAAAGGCTTGAAGGTAAACAAGTGGCCATCTAGCTCAGAAGCAACAAAGCCCACACGAAGGAAATACACCAGCCTGCGTGATCACGGCGTGGTGAAGGGATCAGTTATCAGGCATCAAAGAACAAAAAATCATATCATTGTGAGCTCACCTCCCCGATACAATCGCTGAAGACAAATGGGTGCACAAGCAAATGTGGAGAAGAAAGTGATGGTGCCTGGCTATCAAAAGATATAGCATCTGGGGTCTTAAAGGCTTGAAGGTAAACAAGTGGCCATCTAGCTCAGTGGCAGTGGGGCCCACATGGAGGAAGCACACCAGCCTGTGCGATCACAAGGTGTAGGGGAGATCAGTTGTCAGGCATCATCAGAATGGAAGATCATATCATTATGAGGGAGGGGGAGTGCGGAGTGGAGAGCCAGGGTCCATCTGTGAGCAGTTGGACATCACCTTGTGGAGGAGTTGCGGGGAGGAGATGAGCCAATTAGGGTGAACTGTATCAATGATGAAGCATCAGGCTTGCTTCTGGTTCCTAAATGCTTCCTCCTCCCCCACTATCATGATCCCAATTCTACCTTGCAAGTCTGGATAGACCAGAGGATGTACACTGGTACAGATAGGAACTGGAAACACAGGGAATCCAGGGCAGATGATCCCTTCCGGACCAGTGGTGTGAGTGGTGATACTGGGAGGGTGGAGGGAGGGTGGGTTGGAAAGGACAAACAGATTACAAGGATCTACATGTAACCTCCTCCCTGGGGGATGGACAACAGAAAGTGGATGAAGGGAGTTGTTGGACAGTTCAAGATATGACAAAATAATAATTTATAAATTATAAAGGGTTCATGAGGAAGGGAGAGCAGGGAGGGAGGGGAAAAATGAGAAATTGATAACAGGGGCTTAAGTGGAAAGCAAATGCTTTGAGAATGATGAGGGCAAAGAATGTACAAATGTGATTTAAACAATTGATGTATGTGTTGATTGTTATGAGTTGTATGAACCCCTAATGAAATGATTAAAAAAATATGTCCACAAATATAAAGTATATTTTGTAACAAAGCCATATGAAAAACTTCTTTTCCCTCAAGATTAGCCTTTAGAGAAAATAAGAGAACAATGAGGCAGAAAAGTAGTGAAAATTCTGAAGTAATTTTCTATTGCAAACCTTCATTCTGGAACTAAAATTCTATATAAAGGAAGTTCATGGCTTCCTATATGAACTCTGCTTTTCAATGGGGAAACTCAATAATTTCTTATAAGCAAATATTTCATCCTCTTCTAGAAATAGTCTTCTAATCACCTTGCTTTTTCTTTTACTCCCACAGTCTTAGGGACTATTACAAAAAGAAGACGCCGACTAGTCACAGACACTGGTGCTCAGGAAAACGACATTTCAGGCAGACTATAAAAGTAAGACCCATGAACCCAAATGAATTAAATTCTATTAAATATTGGAAGTATTTTTCCTTTACCCTTGAAAATAAATATTGAGACAAAAATTGGTTCCTTGAGATGAAATATACTAAACAACTTATAAGTCTTCTCAGAAGGAATATTTTGTGAAAGGAAAATTATTTCTCACCATTTATGTATCACTGTCAGTGAATTTTCTTCTGTCTCTTGGTCAATTTTAGCTGAAAATAGAAAAAATATAAGATATATTAAACAAATCATAATGATGCTGAGTAAAATATGATCTAAACAATATCATTATAAAATATTCATTATTAAGTTTAAAGCATATGGGAAAAAAATGCTAGTATATCCTTAAGTATCCACTGATAATAGACTATTTTAATGCACTCTGGCCAGAAGTTTATTTAAATCTATGAATGTTATACTCATATAACTGGAAAATATTATATTTAATTTTCAGTATGCTAATATTTTTATATTGACACAGATTAATTATATAGCCAACCAAAATTTTTATACTCTATTTAATTTCATTAAATCATTTACTTGTACATATACATAGAATGTGTTTTTAAAATGCTAATAATTAATTACTTAATTAGAAGTACAAAAAGTAACCTAAAATAACATGTAAACTTCTTCAATTATTATCAGATTTTTTGACTCTTCACTAGTAAAATCTAGACCATACTGCAAAACAGAATATATAGAGATTATATAGAGAGGTACAAAATAGAGTACTAACACATTCTACTAATTAACAGGAGAAGTGCCAGTGTATCCATTTACCAGTTATCCTCTGCCTAAACAAAAAGAGTGGCAATTGATACAAGCTGAAAGGTCATGTTTGGATAGGGTATTTTAATGCAGTTTAAAAGAACAGAAATTTCATCACAAAAAATAAACATGGTGGTGACTTTCAAATGTTTTGACCAGTAGACATCCTAGTACTGTGTGTATTACTTCATACACTCACACAGAATAAATTTCCTTTATGAAATATTTCTTCCCTCACAGTTTCAAAAATACTCTTACTTTGTAAAGTTTCTCTAATATCATTTTTCTATTATATTGAATTTTCTAAAATTGACTTCATGTCCCAATAATGGTTTGGGACCCACATTTTGAAAACCACTGAGTTATAGGACAAAATGAACAAATATATAAAAACTGAAGCATAAAATAAGTCAACACGGAAGAAACACACTAGCTTGTATAGTCCAAAAATTGCAAATAATAAAATCCAAATCTGAAGGAGAGAACAGTATCAGGGGTTAAATTCAGAAAACTCAGTTTGCAGAAGGCTATGGATGACAATGGATGCCCAAAATCTATTTGCAGGATCCCCACATGTAGTAAGCCTCCCCTAAATCCTCTTTGACCAATAGTTGAAGTATGTAAATAGACTTGCTACCAGACAGAAAGCATCATAAAGGCTGTTATGGAAGATATAGTTAAATCCAAATGTAACAATTTGTCATTTGTTCTCCCATTTAACCTATTTTAAAATTTTTACACTTTTCAATATTTTCTTCTTTATTATTATTATTAAATACTTTTATTAGGGGCTCTTTTTTTAAATCATTTTACTAGGGGCTCATACGACTCTTATCACAATCCATATATGCATCAATTGTGTAAAACACATTTGCACATTCATTGCTCTAGTCATTCTCAAAACATTTGCTTTACACTTAAGCCCCTGGCATCAGTTCCTCATTTTTCCCCCTCCCTCCCCGCTCCCCCCTCATTCATGAGTCCTTGATAACTTATAAATTGTTTATTTTGTCATATCCTGCCCTGTCTGACGTCTCCCTTCACCCACTTTTCTGTTGTCCGTCCCCCAGGGAGGAGGTCACATATTGATCCTTGTAATCGGTTCCCTCTTTCCAACCCATTCACCCTCTATCATCCCAGTATTGCCACTCATGCCACTGGTCCTGAAGGGATCATCTACCCTGGATTCCCTGTTTCCAGTTCTTATCTGTACTAGTGTACATCCTCTGATCTAGGAAGACTTGCAAGGTAGAATTCGGATCATGATAGTGGTGGTGGGGGGGGGAGGGAGGAAGCATTTAGGAACTAGATGAAAATTGTATTTTTCATCGTTGCTACATCGCACCATGTCTGGCTCATCTCCTCCCCGAAATCCCTCTCTAAGGGGATCTTCAGTGGCCTGCAAATGGGCTTTGGGTCTCCACTC